CAACAGCCAGATCCACCCTGGTGGCCCTTGGACATCGAGCTGAGCAGCTGAGCAGTTCCTGTTTTTAGCTGCCAGGAGTACTGAATCGCTGAATCGGTGCTGCTGGACCGGGTGAGGCAAAATGTTCTTCGGAGGGATCTCTTGCTGCGTATAGTGTGGGAGACGCAGCGGCTTGTAGGATCTTCAATGATAGAAGTCTAGTGTATTCTCAAAACCCAAAAAGGCCTTTGATCATTTCAGGTTGTGTTTGAACACTCATAGAGTGTCTTCCTTTGAAATGGACGTTCCGACCTCCGACCTTTCCCAACCGGTCACTGTGTTTGAATACCACGAACTGGTGGGATGAGTATCGCAACTCTACGGAAGACCCAGTTCCCAGGGGAATTGAATACTCAATACTAAAAGAGGCGAGCGTCGCCAGCGGCACGCCAGCGGCCTTTGCTACACCTCTTCGGAGATCACCCCACCTGCAGAAGAGCTCTGCGTGACGTCGCTGGGTCTTTGAGAAGATTCCCAGTATCTCTTGCGTCCATCTCGTTTGTCGGCTCCAAGGCTTATTCCTTCTTAGTTGTTCGCTACATGCAGATAGCTGCCTGCTTTTTTAATTGGGAGGATACAGCAAGCATGTTTCAACATGATTCAAGCACAAACATGCAAACTGCAATCATTGAGATTGGCATCCTTCTTGGGACTAAAGGCAGACACACGGAGCGCAACTGTGCACATGCTTGCGCTTTGAGTGGGTGCAATGTCTGGAGCCTGAGACGATGTGCCGATAGATACCGATCGTGCCTGCTGAAGGGACCAAGTCGTTCATGTCTTGGGTGCCTTGACTAGGATATTTGATGCCAATGTGACTATGGATGAGCCTGTCGGGATCCAGCCACTCTATTGTCTTATGTGGAGAGCAGGTCTGTCCCAGTGGTCCCAGACCAACCCCATGAAAAATCGCCTGCCAACCATTTCACCTCTGCAGCTCTTGGGGTTTGTGGTGTAGCTCTTTATACTGCTGGTTCTTTACCGTTTCACGTGGCGTCCCGCGTCCATGGCTGGTCTTTTCGGGCTCAAGACATGGCTGGACCCGAAGATGGTGCGGATCGAAGAACATGGAGAAGGCCCACACTCGCCACATGCATTTTTTCATCTTTTGGGATAGAAAAGGTTTGAATCCATGGGTGAATCGGGATCCGCAAAAATGACTCACAATTGACCATTCTTTCCTTACTGTAGCTTTGTTGCCTTTAAGACATCGCCAGCTGTCATTGTGTTTTGTCAGCAACTTTGATCTATATATTCTGATAGCTCGTCTCATGTGCTTCCCTCCTGAATGTTGCACAGGACATTCCAAGGGCTTCCAGAGGACTCGGACGTCGACTCCACGTCGGCTGTGCCATCTGGGAGAGATTTCCAGCGAAGTGGCTGTGCCTTGGCTTTCCTTTGCCTTCTTGTTGGACTCCTGGCATGCTGGAGATACCCCGGCCACATGTGGCCGGCAGATCTTGCTGCCGTTCAAGACGAGCAGGCAGGCAGTTCAGGGGGGGTGGCCCTCTCTTTTTAACACCCGCGAGACTCATTTCGGTGAAAAGGTCGGTTGAATCTTTTCTTTTTCCAGGAGAAGTCAGTGCAGCTGGCGGGGCAGGGAGGAACCTTGGAACCTGGGCCTGGCTGTCCATCACTTTGTGGGAGCTTCGTGGCTTGTGAGCCCAACCTCAGGAGCCAAGCCGAGGCAAACAGGGTCCGCACTTCGTTTACGCCCGAGAACGTGGGAATCGTCCGATTCTGCGAGGGGATGAGATCTGATGAGGCTGAGGTGTTCTTTTCTTTTGAGATGGACGGTGGTTCTTAGCTCCAAGATGCCGTAAAAAGCCGCAAGCTTTGGAAAGGGGGGTTGTTCTCCGAGCAGAGTGGAGGTAGGAATAGGTAGGATGAGTATGTGCAGGCATCATTTTGATCAAATCGCTTGGAACCAGGAGCAACAACAAATTGCTGCCTCTACAAATCTTCCATTGGACACTTGTCTGTGGCCATAAACATGAGCACGGATAGCACGCTTGGTTTCACGGAAACATGCAGGTCACAGCAGACCATCGCAGACCACATCCTTCTTGACACACCTCCAGCTTTGAATGTCATCCTGCGTGACACACACCGTGTTTTTTTCTTTTTTCAAGCAGATTTTTTTTTCACGTTTGGTCTTCCCATGACCGTGCCGTGCTTTGTTTAGGTGGCTTTTTCGTTCAGCCTGTGCCTTTTTCGTTCACGGTGCCTTTCTCAAGGACGGGCCTCTTTCCAATTCCCCCGTTCCTTCACAACTTGGTGGCCGCGACTCGACTCTACAACAAGCAGATCACTCCGTTTCGTCCAGACTTCCGCTGCCCCGACAGTGACTGCTGGATCCCGCCGCTTGCACTGAGTTCTCGGGGAGAACAAACTGGGTCCTCTCCTTTTTGGGACGGTCCTTGAATGATGGGTTTTGGTTGGCCTTTCCCAGAAGCAAGTGCAGTCCAATGAAAAGCGAGGACATTTCAGGCGGGGTCCCACAGACCTCCTCGAATTTCCCGGTGATCGTCCACTCGAGAAGTGGATGTGCTTTCCACTTCAACTCCCCATCGTCGGAAAGCATGGGCATTGGGGCATTGCCGCATTGCTCAAACTGGGGTATCTAGGGTACACCCCAAACTCATGGGCAGAAGTAATCCGCACACTCAAAACTGTGGCCCCTTGATATATGTCCTTTTGTGATCTTTTGTGCACCACTGCTACACAGGAAAAGAACAGCGGAAGAGAGACAAGTTAGCTTTCAAAGCTTCGTTCTGATTGTTGGCTCAGGGCGTTTTCTTTTCTTTTTTTTTTTCTGCGCACCCTAGTTTCAAGAGGTCTGAACGTTTTCTTTTTCATGCCACAGATTTTGCCTGGCAGCTTCTCCGATTTCTCCATCTCTGACTCTGACCCCTTCTGACCCAAAAAGCTGACCGCAACGGTTGGAAGCTCGCGATTGACTCTCTCTGCGCGCCCAGGAATGCTTTTATAAATGACGACTTCTGCGATTGCCCGCTGACCTGTGCTGACGAAGAGCAGCATAGCTGCGAGAGCTGTGGAGGTCCGGATGGTACCTTCCCCTGCTCAGGCGTGGGCTGCCCAAGTGTTTGTTCAGGTCACAGGGATGCTTGTTCGCACCACTTTGCAGCTTTTTGGTTCTCTGCAGGTCCATACATACAGTTTGTACACGTACATTTGCAGCCCTTTTGAGGTCTTGGAAAAGGGGCGCCACGCTTTGCATGGTAGCGGAGCCCTGGTTGGGCTCCCGCTCCTGACCCCCTGTAAAACCGGCGTAAGTCCCGAGAGGCGGCGGTGAGGGAGGCACCCTATAAATCCACGTGAAATCTCGTGGTGTGGGCACGGCGTAAATCCCTGGGCCGGGTGGCACGCATCGCACATGGCAGCGCCTGTGACGCCGCCTCATGCCTTCGACATGGCGGCTGCTGCGGCTGATGGCTTCGAGTCGCCTACATCCCAACCACATCCGCTACTACCTCAGCCAGTTCCTGGTCCGCGGCTCATCGACACGAAAGCCATCGGGAAGCTTCGATCATTCAGTGGAAAGGATGAAGATTGGCCGGCTTGGGTGTTTGTTGCACGGGGCTACGTGCACCTGCTCGACCGTGCTTACCGAGGCATGCTGGAAGCTGCTGAGAATGCCGCCTCGCAGAACGAGCTGTCCATGATCGATATGAGTGACACAGCTCAGGAATTGTCGACTGTGCTCTTCAACCTGCTCACCCAGAGCGTCGACGGCAGAGCTCTCCAGATCCTGATGAACGTGGAGGGCCAGAATGGGTTCCAAGCCTGGAAGGCATTGTGTGATGCCTATGAACCACCAGTGGGTGGACGCCACATGGCGATGCTCACGGCCATCATTGCGCCCGACTGGAAGAACATCAAGGAGTCCGAGATCCTTGAGACGATTGAGTCATGGGAAGTGCTGGTGAGGCGCTATGAGATGCAGTCCAAGGAGACGGTCTCTGAGTCCATGCGGGTTGCCGTGTTGATGAAGCATGTTCCAAGCCCGGTGAAAGATGCCATGAGAGCTGCTGGAACGCAAATCGGCACGAACTATGAAAGAGCAAAGAAGTTCATCCGGGACTACCTGCAGACCGGCAACATCTACAAGTCTGGTGGCGCGCTGGCCAAGGACGATGGTGGCTTGGCACCTATGGATGTGGGAGCAGTGTCCCATGCAGAGAAGGGCAAGAAGGGCAAGTCAAGCAAAGGAGACAAAGGAGTCAACAAAGGTGGAAAATACGACAAGCAGGGAAAAGGCAAAGCACCCATCACGAAGAAGTTCAACGGCGAGTGCTCGTATTGTGGAAAATGGGGCCACAAGAAGGCAGACTGCCGCACTTTGGTCCGAGATCGAGCACGACGTGACGGCGACAAGGGCAAAGGCAAGAACAGCACGAATGCAGTGCAGGCAGCACCGAGTGGTTCAGCTGCACCACCGTCACCTCAGGGAGCTCCAGGCAGCAGCACCAATGCTGTCTACTACTGGATTGACCCCGATAATGACGAGAGGAAGGCATGGGCCGACACCTATGACATCGAGGACGAGTACAGTGATGAGATGTGGGTGATGATGATCCACAAGGCCAACAAGCAGGTGAGCGAATGGCACCACATGAACATCTCCCAGCCTAGCGGCACCTCCGTGAAGTACCTTCTTTGGGACTCTGGCAGTGATGAACACCTCTGCCAACCTGTGTTCGGAGGCGACCAGCACACCGAAGAGTGCCGAGCTGAGCTGCTAGGGATTTCTGGGAAGAGCTTGGGAAAACTCGGAAAGAAGCGAGTGAGCTACAAGATTGTGGGCGAGAATGGCAACTTCCTGAATGCCATCACGGAG